CAAAAAAAAAATGTAATACCTGTAATAGATCCAGGATATGTACCACTCTGGCGTCTCGGACCCGGAGGGTGACTCCGCCCACTGTCCACTGACATCATGCCGTTCCGCCACCCCTTCCCTCCTTGGCTTAAGCCACGAAAATTCACTTGTCCAGTGTTCCTGCAATGGATGTGGTGGCTGGACAAGTTCTGAGCAGCCCTGCTCTCCTTCCTGCCACTGAATAGGCTTATTAGCCTCCTACATCAACCCTCCAAATACTTCTGCTTACTTCAGCCTGCTGTGACTCCTGGTGCACCAAGACTGCATGCAAGACACTTCAGCTTCCACAGTCAGCAATCAGCCACAGTCTGGAGGATTCACCAGAGCAGCCCGAGTGCAACTAACAGCAAGTATTCAATGCCACAGTCGATGATATGCACACAACCAAAATGACTTCAAATTTGTGCTGTTAATCCAGCAATACAATTGCCCTCTACTGCTACAACCTATTTCAAGCTATTGCTAAATCTTGTGATGTGAAGTTAACATTACCACTGACTACTACTATTCATTGACTTCAAACATTCACCTTGTGATGTGAGGAGAACGTTACAACTGTTTCTTTGCATATTGCTTCAATCCTGTTATGTGATGCAAACATTATTACTGCAATAACCTTACTTATAGAGACTGCCATTACAGTGACGTAAAAGTTGTGTTTAAAAGACTTCCAGAGCTGAGTTCCATCATTTATCATAAGATGTATTACAATACCATCTTTTATTTAAAATAAAATACAAAAATGGGGTGTTAAAAAACATAAAAAGTTTACTTCAGAATAAAACTGCATGCACATTTTTTTGCCATCTCACTGCACTGGAATGAGCAACACTGGTACCACGCATGCCAATGCAGGCAATCGCACTGCGGGCGTGAGGCGTGTTTGGGGTGCCATTGAAATGGCAACGCACCTTCCATAGCCTAAATTGTTAGGCTGAAACTAAATATTGGCTTTTTACCCCCTTTTATAATTTTTTTGTTCAAATATTTGTATGTATTACATTAGGCTTTTTAATTAGTTTTTTGATTTAAAATAATCTGAAATTGAAAAACTCCAAACCAATATAATAAAATAACCAGACTTTTAAAATAACATACCAAAATTGGAGTTAGAATACTGGTAACTATTTTCAGTAGTCTTCCAGGACAGCATCAAAATGGAGAGGAGCATATAATTTGGGATTTTTATTCCAAATGTGCACCGGGTCATCATCTAAAGGAAATCTACACTTTAGACAAAAAAAAGTCTTCCTCTGGCTCTGTCCACTCCCTCAAAACAGAGTCTGAGAGAACCTTATGAACAGGAAAAACCCTTGATTTTTTACCCTCTAGGCCAGTGGTTCTCAACCTTTCTAGGGCCGGGACCCCTTGGTAACATTTGCCAAGCTGTGGTGACCCCCAAAAGGTAAAATTTAGGGATGACGCGGCTGCTGCTGAGGAGGACTCTCACCTTGCACAGCGACCCACAGGTTGAGAACCACTGCTATAGGCAAAGACAGGACCGGGCTCTGCAGCTGGAACTAGAAGAATTGGATTTAAAGTGTGTGGCTATATAATGTATGAGGTACATACTTCGCAGTACTGTCACTGATAGGGATGGGCTCGGGTGAGTTCGCAGCTCCACGTGCCAAGCCCGCCAGGAAGCTGACAGCGCCAATCATAGGCACTGAGACATTTCCAGATCTCTGCAGCTGCGGACCGGGAAAATGGAATGCATAGCTAGAAGTGTGTTTTACATTTTTTTTGCTTGAATAACATACATATTGCACCCGCTCTCTGCTGTTGTCAATCACTAGAAGGGGACATGATGGAGAACTTCAGGTCCCCCTCTGCTGATTGGCAACATCAGAGGACGGGTGCAATAGCTAGTTTGCTATTGGCTTTTTCAAAGTGAAATAGCCAATAGGAATCTAGCTATGCATTTCTATGGTGGGGGGTTTTTTTCTGACTTACGGCGGTCCCCGATTTAAAACAAAAAACAGAGCAGAGTGTCTCTCTCCCGGCGGCCGAGAGCCACTAGGCGACCCCTGGCAAATCGTCATTCGACCCCCGAGGGGTCCTGACCCACAGGTTGAGAAGTGCTGCTCTAGGCCCTGATACATTAAATCATGCTTAGAGAGATTAACTTTTTCTTCCTGAATTTCCAGGGTCTCATAAATGGCTTTTGAGGCTGGGTTCACACCTAGGAGTATCGATTATGAAGTACAGCGCGTTAAAAAACGCGCTGTACTTGGCTGTATCCCAATGGAAACGCGCAACAAAAACGTCTCAAAGAAGCTCCTGTACTTCTTTGGGCGTAGGGCGTTTTGTAGCGCGTTCAGACTGCCTGTAATACGCCCAGGTGTGAACCATACCCATAGGAAATAATGGGATTTCGGTGTTTGAGCGTTTTGCAGAGCGTTCGAACGCGCTATAAACCACCCAGGTGTGAACCAGGCCTAAGAGATCATCGTCTTCCAATGAAAGTTTAAACATAGACCTCCTGGAAGAATCCTCCCTTTCACTTTCCCCTTCAGGGGATAAGTCTATCCGAGAGAGATCCGAAGCGGCCAGATCCTCAGGCTCGGAAGATTTAAAAGAGACCCCGAAGCGGCTGACACAGGTAGAATAGGTAGCCTTAAAGTGATCGAAAAGTGACCAGAACGAGTGGAATGTGGATGCTAATTTTTCTTTGAAGACAAGAGGTTGCTAAATGCAGTAGCTGACTCTGCCTTAAGAATTCCTCCAAAAACAAGACTGGCAAAGAGGCTTGGTATAGGAAGGGTTAAGCCTAGTACCACACACACAGCATAGTTTTTCCAAGGTACACTTCTGGATTTGTCTGGGGCTTTGGCCTGAAGGAAAAAGGATCCAAATTAACCCGGGAGGACTATCAAACCCTAGTGCCAGTCTTAACACTTAAAAACCCACCACCAAAGGGGCCCAGGTGAAGAGCAGGAAGTCGGAGCATCAGGGGACAGAGAGAAATTGAAGCCGCTCTCTTACCTTAGCTGGGCTGGAAATTGAGGTGCCTGCATCCACCCCACCCCCTCTGCTGCCTGAGAAGACTCCATAGCAGACAGCGTGCAGTCCGGTGTTCTCGCAGTCACTGCCGGAATACATAGCCAGGAAGTTCTAGCCAGGTCTCCCCCCCTTCCCATGTGCCGAAAAAAAGGCCTGGAGCGTGAGACCTCCAACGCCCAGAGGTGACGCATTTCCGGTATCTGGTCAGGCCGCGGACAGTGTCCCAGAGCTACTGAAGAGCTACCAGCCAGCTGACTTTTCCAGCCTGCACCCACGGAGCCAAGGGGAGAAAGAGCACTTCGATCAAAGGCCTCCCCAAGGCACGGAAGAAGAAAGCGAAGACCAGAATACCTCCTAATGGCTTTCAGGAGGACTACTGGAGGCCAGAGGTGAGAGAACCAGAGAAGGAAAAACTAGGGCAGCATATACCAACGTATCTCCCCCCAAATAAGCGCTCCATAGGTGATAGATCTCTTACGGACAGCGGAAACAAACTGAGGACCATCCTGTGATAAAATACAAAACATACATACATATTATATATAAAAGCCCGGTCATCAGAGTTAGCCATTAATATTGAGAATTATTGCTCTCAGTCTGGCACTTGCAGTAATACGACATGTATATTGCAATTTTAGTAGGTAGGTGCACCCAACTAGTGTTTCCGTTCTTATGCACGCATTTGGGTGGCAGGGGACTTTTTTTGTTAACGTCATTGCTATTACATGGGGGGGGCTCACAAGCCTCCTATGTAATTGCACGTTGGAGATAACAGGTTTTTGTTAAGGGGACATCACGGTCACCTTTACACTTCAAAAAGGCGCAATTCAAGAACACGGTTTGAATAGCTTCAGCCAGGGAATGCTAACACAGCAGACAGTGGGTGTGTGCAAAAGCCAGTCTGCTATTGGCTTTGAAATAGCCAATAGTAGGCTGGCTATTGCACCTGTTGACTGCCTGCTGTCAATCAGCACAGGAGGGGCCTAAAGAAGCAGTACCGCTGACCCGCTGTGTCCTAACTCGCCCACTTCTCCAATATATCTCCCTCTCTCTGAGAGGCCCTGGTTTTACAGCCAGTCTGTCCCCTCCAATGCTCGCTGCCTCTGCCCGGTGGAGATGAGTCAGTGGTGGTGGCGGCGGTGGGGAACGGCTGAGTAGCAGCAGCCAGGAGAAGGATGCTTGAGTAGAGATGCAGCGGCTGGGAAGGAAGCAAACGCTGAGCAAAGTTGTGGCAGCCGGGGGGAGCAAAGGCTGAGCAGCGTTCCAGCGCCTGGGAGGATAAAGAACAACTGAGCAGAGTTGTGGCTGCTGGGGGAAGTTGGGAGGGCGGGTGTAAGGAACGGCCAAGTAGAGTTGCGGCTGCGCTGAATCAACTAATCGATAATGAAAATCGTTGACGATTCTCTTTATCGATTATTATTGATTTTAACGATTAGTTGTTGCAGCCCTAAAGGGGAGGCTGCTATTCTGAATGATGAACCTCAACAATAATGTGAAGGATAACAAAAGCAACCGCTATGAAGGGAAAAACAGGTAGGAGAAAAATTAGACCAACATCAAAAAGTGGTCAACAAAACAAACATGTTTTTCAGCTAAAGGCCAAAAGTAGGAGAGTTAGCTCTCTACCTTAGGAAAAGTAATGCTGAAAAAAGTATATACTGATCCAAAACCAGCCAGTGAACAGTTGAGGATCAAAGCAGAATACCGATAACATCTCAGACAGGCGCCGCAATCTTTGCTCTAGCAGGGTCTAGGTAGCTGGATGAAGAGCTGCATTCAGCAGTATGCAGGCAAAGTCTTGACTGAAGCAAAGAAGATCTTAAGATAAACAATAAAAAACAAAATTAAACTTGTCCATCCTCCTAGGACACTAGAAATAAACTAAAGGATGATGGGAGTAGGAGTGGTTATTCCTGGCTGGCCAACAGCTTTTGTTTGCCAGTGTCCGGGTGCTCCTGTGGGTGGCAATATAACCCAGTTATCTTAAAACACATAATCCTGCATCCCTTAATAAACAAGAAAAACAACATTTGTATTTTTAACTTTAATATGGCAATTAATATGTTTGCAAGACGTTTTTATGGTTTATAGGTAGTAAGTTGGCCAATGATCATTTTAACAGCAAGGCAATACTCTAAAGAGGCTGATTTAATAGAGAAGTACATCTTTCACTTAGCTGCTTGACAGCTCCCATATGTCCATCGTGAAAAGTTGCCTTTGGAGTCAGTGAAAGCTCTTAACACAATTAATTTCAATTGAGCCAATGCAATCTACTTTAGTACAGTAACATTTTCTCCAGAAACTATCACTCACTTTCAGTACTAACTTGGAGGCAAAATAAAACAAAGCTACAACACGACCCCAGTTAAAGTTGCCGTCAGCAAACATTTCAGTTGCCACACGGAAGAAGACCTCTTTGGGAGGGTTGCTTTTCACTTGGTCGATCATCCTGCGAGAGAAAAAAAAAAATGACCACCAACATTTAGTATTATTGATTTGAATATTATTAATTTAAACAGCTCCTCAAGCAATCTGAGTTAGACAAGTACACAATTTTCTGTGATTTAAGTTTACCACCTGAAGTGTATCACAATTTAGCAGCCAAGCAAGAAGTTTGTTTTCAATCAGCCGGCAGACTGAAAGACTTGCATTGTGAGAAGGAATAGTAAGGCCTGGTTCACACCTGGCCGTTTTGTAGCGCGTCCTTACGCTCTGCAAAACGCTCAAACACCGAAATCCCATTATTTCCTATGGCTATGGTTCACACCCGGGCGTATTACAGGCCGTATGAACGCGCTACAAAACGCCCTACGCCCAAAGAAGTACAGGAGCTTCTTTGGGGCGTTTTTGTCGCGCGTATCCATTGAGCTACAGCCAGGTAGCCCTCTGAAACGCGCATTTGTCGACAAACACGCATATTCGATATGCCTAGGTGTGAACCCAGCCTAAAGTGCATCACTACAAAGCAGGCAGAGCCTGAATAATTGCTGCACACAACTTGGGAGTACCCCTGTTCCACATATTTACAAACTATGCACAGCAACAAACATAAAACATTAGCGTTGGATAACAAGTTACACCAAGCTGATCTCTTTTAAAAATTTACTTTAAAAAAACTATTTAATCCCTTTAAAAATAGTTATAATAATCATAATAATAATTAAAGTAACGAATAAGACCTTTCCTAATTATAATTCTGTATAAAGTTTCCTATATCATTTATTGGAAATGTCAGCCAAAAATATTTTTCAATTTCTGTCCTTTTGTGTACAAAAAAAGGTTGGTGGTGTGCAGGTCCTGAATGAGGTGCCAACCCCTAGTTAAGTAAAAGAGAAAGAAAAAGTCGGGCTTTTTGGCACCAATTGACAAGTACCAATGAACTTCAAACAATGAAGCATAAAAATATATTTTTTAATTTAGTGTAAAAGTTAAAAATCTTCGGTGTGATACATAGGAATATTAAAAACGCAAGATTTGATGAGAACCTCCTTTCACCCACTAGGTTCCATATATGAGGTAGTAGTACATAAATCAGACAATTGTACACATGATTAGAAAATTCAAAAAATTGGATACAATCAATAGAGAAAATTCCATCCATAGACTGAAATAACCAAAAACCTCTAATGGAAACACATTTGGTGGTGCAGTACTTGCAGAGTTCAATGGAGATGCCATACTTGCATTATTGTGCTCAACGCGTTTCGCGCTGCGGGGCACTTCATCATCAGGAGGAGGTCCCTTCACAGTGTGATTCACAGATGCGCAACAGGGGCTTGTCCTTTGAGGTGCCAAGAACCACAAAAGCAACATAGGGACCTGAGGAAAAGAGCCGCATAGGCGACCTGGTGGCACTCTCCACCATCTGCTGCCGCCGATGCCTGCAGGGCAGTCTCCAGCTGTGCACGCCTTTTGTGTATGTGATACAATAGCAAGTATGATGAATTGCATGATGCCATGCAGAGCTAACAAAACTATGGCCAGAAGTCAAAGCACGCACCCATAAACTAGAAGCAATGTAAGCAAAAAAAGAAAGACTGCCAAAACAGCCTGCCCACACCCGGAATAATCCATGGGCAATGCTAATATTTTGCAAACATTTATAAAAGTAAACATAATTCTAGCATAATGTAATGTCAGATGCCATCTAAAGGCTTCTGTCAATGTGTTTTGAGCCATATCTATGAACTTGCTTTTAACATTAGTTTGAGATGCTTCTGTGGTCATTCAGAATTCACTTACAGGTGCATTTGACCTGCAGTTAACTTTAATCGGCTTAAATTTTCCTCAATTTTCTTATTGTTCTAAGCTTACTAAAGTAAAATGAGTGTCATGAAAGTACCACTGTAATAAATAGGTCTAGATAAAAATAAATATTTTTAGGAGTAAAACAAGACAAAAAATAAATAAGAAACACCTCTTGCTTACCTCTAAAACAACTGTACTCTGTATAAAAATGGTGCTGTGAAAACATTCATTTGTTCCAGCTAAGGCCGCATTCACACCAGGGCGGAAGCATTTCAGTGCAATTTTTGAAAGGTTGGGCATTTTTAATCGCATTTCAGTGCTGAAACGCATTTAAAAACGTCCAAAACTGTGCTGATCAGTGCATTTATATTGAAATCTATACAAAAAAAATGCACTCATCAGCGTGACAAAAGTAGGTCAAGGAGCATTTTGGGCGGCAGGCGGTTAGGATCACCCGAAGCCGCGTGCTTTCATGATTGCACGACCGAATCGTCCTGGTGCGAACGGGGCCTAAGAGATAGCAGCCTGTACCTAAAGTTGCCCATACGCCTATTGATTAGCATTTGGAAATCGTCCGCGAATGGTCTTTCGAACAATAATCAGTTGACGGGAACCAATAATTTTAATTATTGTACTCCTGGACAATTTTCCTCAATTGGTTAGGCTGGAAAACATTTTTGGAATCGAAAGGAAATCGATGAATTAGTGGCGTGTTCGTGGGGAGGAAAAATACATTTGAAAAAAATTGCAACACGAACACTACAGATTTGCAAACGAAAATCCGCTCCATCGATCGGCAAAATTCGGGGGGTTAGTATTGCCAACGAACGACTATCGAAACTACATTGGTCTGTGCTTGATGGGCTATTTGAGCTAAAATCGAGCAAGGGTTCTTGGCAGCAACAAAAATCGCAGAGTGTATGGCCAGCTTTACTAAATGACAGGTCTCAGACAAAAGATCAGGGAAGAAATCGGCAAGGTTCCCCATTATATAATAAATTACAGACAACCATGGTTATCACTGGAAGCTTGATTGCAACTGAGCTTGCAAACAAAAGTCTCTGCCAGAAGATGTCACTGTGCCCTTCTCAGTACATCGAGAAAATGTGATTGCAAGAGATTTCGTGTTGAAGCCACTCATTCCAAATGTCTCCCATCCATGCAACAAATGTTGCAACTTGCGAGAGTTTCATTTCACTGTGGGTAATGTGTATTTTAATCCGTTACAGGTGCCCGAGACAGAATTTTGCCTGGACACAATATTTAAACGTGTACAATCTACTCCAACATGGAAGTGGTCTTGCTTACCTCGATTTTTCTTATTACTGAAATGGTAGTATTTCTTTAAAAAAAAGTGGCACAGCCATAGCGCCAGAAGTGTCGCACATAAGGACTACTTGAATTTGTTGTATGAAAAAAAACAAAAGCCAGCAAAAAAGTTGCATGGCTTTCATTATTTGGCACAGGACTTTCTATAGGGTTGTAATGCCAGAAAATTGTTGCAAATGCTTTACTGAATTGCCTCCACAAGAAGAAAAAAAAAAAGTGTTAAACAGTCTCCATACACTTTTCTTGGGCTGCCCATAAACGGCTCAAATTGCATCTGATCCCTGCTGTATCGGCTGCAACTGAAGCTGTGGATGGCCCTGCGAGCATCACCCAGCTTGAAAACAGTGGATTTAAAAGTCAACTACGCTTCGGTCTTAAAGAGCTGGCCCCTGGCAGCAGGAAGGGATTCAAATTTTGGAAGCACAATAGTAATAATTAGAGGTGCACCAGAATAAAAATTTCAAAACTGAAAATAAAAAACAAAAATGTTTTTTTACTTTACTGTTGGGAATGAACAGGAATACTCTATACTGAAAGTTCCTGTTCATTCATAATTTGCGGAGATAGTATGTTTACTGAAACCACAATCATGAATGAACAGGAAGTGATGTAGGTGTGAGCTGACTCTGCCCCCACACCGCCGCTCCCCTGATCTGTCTCAGGAAGCTGGGTGGGCAGGAGAAGAGCTCAGCCTCCTGTGACAGCAAGTACAGCTGTCTACGCCCCCACACCGCTCTCCTAATCTGTCACATGAGGCTGAGCGGCGCGAGAGGAGATACGCCGGCCGCTCATATCGCTCTCCTCCCCCACACCGCATGGCCTCCTGTAATAGTCTCTCTCCTTCCCGCTGGACGCTGTGCCGTGTCAAAGGGGACACAGAGCAGCACCCAGCGGGCAGAAGAGAAACCAGGGATGCACCGCTATTTTGGCCGAAAGATGGCACTTTCTGCATTTTGCCAAAAGTGCCATTTTTGGCCAATATGTTTCTGCGGCCGAAATTTCAGTGCATCCCCAGTAATAATAATAACCCTAGCTTAAAGAGACAATATAGACAAGAGCATGCTGAACACGCAAGTGAAAATGTAAAAAACGGTACCTGTACCAGAAATTCAGAAAATACAGGGATACAGCTACAGACATACCTCTGCAGCTCCATGTTCCCATCCAGCTCGTCTCCTATTCTTCGCAAGCAGTCACTCAGTTTTTTAGTAGATGGGTTCATCGGCACCTGTAGTTGCCTACAGTACTCTGGCATTTCTGCAGTGGCTACATCCGAGTTTCCCTGCATGCGATCCACAATAAACCTGAAGACAAGGAGAAGACATTTCATTAAAACTAACCAAAACAGCCCAACAGTAATCCTTTACTTTTCTCAAACCTCAGCAATATGCTGGTGTTGTGTCCTAGAATTCAGAGTCTTCTGATATAAGGGTAATTCTGCTATGATTTCTACTTGGGCTTCCTAAAACAGGGGTAGGCAACCTCGCCACTCCAGCTGTTGTGGAGCTACAAGTCCCATGAGGCATTGCAAGACTGACAGCCGCGACTGGCAGAGGCATGGTGGAACTTGTATTTTCAGCACAGCTGGGGTGCCAAGGTTGCCTACACCTGTCCTATGTAATGGTGTCATAAAATTTTGGACATTTAGGAGAGAAAAATTGCACATTTTCCTAGGTTTTGAGGATTTCAAATGTTTTCCTAGTTTTTGTTTTAAAGAAATGCAGAAATATCAGAAGTGCCAATTGTCATGTTAGGAAAAAAAAAAAGGGTATGAAAAAGGAAGGGTTATGACAGACAGAACTAAACTCAATGCCAAACTGGATACATTACCAGTGTCCATGGTGTCAGATTGGACAGAGGACCCTGAGTATATGTCCCCTCTATGGCAGTCTAGGTACTGGACTGTCCATAGTGCTAATACATTTTCTCTTTGTTCCCTAGCAGGTGGGCGCTCTGTCAGGTGTGCCATCATAGGTCATAAAAGAAAAGCAGGATATTCAGCCCTAGCCCATTGCACTGTATGAAAATGCATTTCAGGTAGAAACTGACGTTCATTGCTACAGTATAGGTCTAACTCACACTTGCGTGCTTCCGCTTAGCAGGTTTGATTGGAAAAAAAAAGCTGGGGGGGGGCTTAAAGCATATTTATGCATTTAAAACACTACACTTCATGTGTTTGTGCATTTCTAGCAGTGCTTCACTTTTAGCCTACATGTGCATGAGCAACACACTGCATTACAGCACATCGAAAATGTGCATACCACAACGTCTGGCTGCAAGCCAAATATAATGCAAGGCGGGCTTTCATTTTATAAAAATATCAGATTGGCTCTTCTATATTTTAAACTGGTAAGTTACATAGTATTTGAGGTTGAATAAAGACATTAGTCCATCAAGTCCAACCTATTAGGATCTCATTCTAGGAGTACCCGTACCCCTGTATATTACGGTCCCTTAAGAAATCGTCCAAAAGTTTATACAGCTAGACCATGTCATTAAACTACTCACCCCCGTAGCAGCAAATCTCCTGTCTGCATGATTTGGTCAGTGGATACTCCTGCAAGCAAAAAAAAAAACAAAAAACATATTAGAAATATACTATGTCCACGTTAAGGAGTTTGGGAAAGTATATGTTGAGGGAAACTGAGGACCTGGGGCCCCCAAAACTTCGCCAATTTGGATACATGGCTTTCAGGAATCCAGCCATACGGAAGACATTATACTGACTAACTCATCTCACAAGTTGAATAAAATGTTCCTGAGAGAATCATATATTGCGATTATTTATTCTGCACATGCTTTCTGCCCAACTGTGATGCTTTATCATCTGCATACATGTTACAGTTAGTCCAAAATGTGGAGCCAGTTAGTCAATAGAATGGTCAAGAAACAAGCATCTTTAGAAGATTGGTAGAGATGTCAGCTCCCCCTTATTTCTAGTTTAAACATTGTTCTAGACTGAAAACAGCAATCAAAGAATCTGCTGACGGTTGCTGGTGAATGGTGATGAACAGCAGTGGTTTCCCTAGGGGTATTTTGTTGGGCATTCTGCCGACCTGTCTCTGGTCTTCAGAGATATAAAAACACATTTAAAGCTGGCCATACACCAGTAGAAACTCATTTAAAAAAAAAAAAACGTTTCCAGAGAGTACGTTCAATTTCTCTAATAGTTAATGAGGTCAAATCGACAATATTTTTTTCAGCCATAGTGCAAAAAACAACAACCCAGGAGGAGCAGGATGGAAAAAGGATTCCAAAATTCAAATCTCTGATGGCATTATCGAATGCTCTGATGAGATTTTTCTGATGAACGTTCGTACACCTTCCAGCGTGTGGCCAGCTTAAGGAGGTGCTGGGATTTCAATGCTTATTCCAATGATTTAAACACAAGAAAATCTTCAAAACCAGCTTACTGGCTCTGGCAAGAGCTCTTCAACACACAGTCCCGACTCAATAGTTACCCAAAAGCAAAGTATAGGCATAAAGATGGGTGCCAAACAGCAACATGAACAGGGGTGTGGAATCCTTATCGCCCGACACACGCAGTTCTGGGCGCCAGGCAGGTGGCATTGGAGAAGCTGGCGGTCGTTTTGCACAAGTGATATGGGCGGCTGTACAGCTGCCGACATCATTTGTATTTAGCCTGTTGGTCCATCTCTCCCTCGCCGGCTCCCCCCTCCATGGTCCATCCCCACCACCTCTCTCCCAGCCATGGTTTTTAGGGTCCTTCAGGACCACAGCAAAGTACTTCAGGATGGAGAGCAGGGTGCAGAATTGAGGACGTCTGTTCTTGGGTCTGCTCCGTGTAAAAAGTGTGACAGGAATGCAGTACTCACAATCTTCCTGTCTCAGCTGTCATAGGAGAGTGCTCTACTCGAACTCCTGTATTGGAGGTGACAGGTTCCATACAGAGAACCTGTCACCTCCAAATGCTATCACACAGGGCTTGTTGGCAGACAAGTTGTGTGAAAAAAAAAAAAAGGAAAGAAAAAAAATTAAGTGATGAGTAAAAAATAAAATACATTTTAAAATAACCCCACTGCTTCCAACATGTGCATGCAAATAAATGCACATGTAAGGCACTGTGTACCATATAGTAGCCGGGCAGCAGCAATCTCCATCACACGCAATGTGCATTAAAGTGTAAGTTCACTTTGGCAAGCAATTTGGGAAAATCGAATTAACCTCTCAAATCTGGCCCCCTCTACTTACCCTTCGGCAAATGGTCCTTCTCCTCCGTCAGTACAGGTGTACTATCTGTAACCCATACTGCCATCCCGTACAGATCTGCGCCATTGATTTTGAATTTCACCCGCAAATTGCGAGCATTCATTGGTCAGCCCTGTCACCTGACTGCACTGACCAATGAGAAACGCTTCTTAGCATGGTTGAATACAAAAAATACATTTTAATCAAAACCGTATTAGGACAAGTAGATTGGGCCCCTGCTTTAGTCCTTGGACAAGTCGTGTTTTTTTAAATGTCCACACCCCCTGATGAAATAGCACAAAGTGCCTCTAATTGTTCATACCACTATTGCATAAAAACTGCCAAAGTGTCCAAGGGGCCACAAACCCACCACTCCCAAAAGAATTGAATGGGGGCTTGAATGGACGCAAGCGTAACTAACCAAACGGATTTATATTAGATCTGGTGTAAAAACCTAATTTGGAATTGGAATTCCGACAATATATTCAGCAGGAAGTTCAACAATCCATTTAAAGGCTATTTTATTCTACTGGGCCCTGATGGAGGGATACGTCAGCCCCCGTGATAGTAATGAAATAAAAAAATAGGATTTTGTACTCACCGTAAAATCCTTTTCTCTCCGTTCATTGAAGGACACAGGCAACAGATCGTAGATCCTGAATGGTAGGGTAATATCGCCACCTGCAGGAGAAGGACGCTAGGCACAAAACTAAAGACCAATTACAGCCTAGGGGCGGCCCCTGCCGGTGGCCAAACCCCCCACCTGCTGACAAGTCTCCAGTTTAGTAACAAGCAGTTAGGAGTGTACACCCCATAAAGAGGGCGGGGCCTGTGTCCTTCAATGAACGGAGAGAAAAGGATTTTACGGTGAGTACAAAATCCTATTTTCTCTCCCGTTCATTGAAGGACACAGGCAACAGATCGTAGATCCTGAATGGTAGGGACGTCACCAAGCAGTAACACACTGAGGGATGGGCAACAATAAAACACCCAAAAGACCCCTCAAAGCGCCGCCTGCAACACTTTGCGCCCCAAACCAGCATCTGGCAATGCTAACACGTCCACCTTGTAGAACTTAACAAAGGTGTGAACAGAAGACCAAGTAGCGGCCTTACAAACCTGAGAAACAGAGGCCCCGTGGCGGAAAGCCCAGGAAGCCCCAACAGCCCTAGTAGAATGGGCAGTGACAGGAAATGGAGGCTCACGCCCTTAACGGCGTATGCCTGAGTCACAACAGTACGTATCCACCTAGAGATGGTAGCCGCCGACGCGGCCCAACCCTTATGAGGACCCTCCGTGAGCACGAACAGGGAGTCGGTCCCGCGGAAAGAAGCCGTAGCTTCCAAATAAACACGAAGAGCGCGAACCACATCCAAACAGTGGAGCGCACGCTCCTTCCTATGAACCGGCTTCGGACACAGGGAAGGTAAGCCAATGTCCTCATTCAGATGGAATGCCGACACAACCTACGGCAGGAACGCCGGCCGAGGACGGAGAACCGCCTTGTCCTGATGCAAAACCAGCAATGGGGACTTGCAGGACAAGGCAGCCAACTCCGACACCCGCCGAACGGAAGTGATGGCCACCAAAAAAGGCCACTCTGTGACAAAGATATAAGCGGAATCTCCTCAAGAGGCTCAAACGGGGATTCCTGCAACACTGAAAGTACGAGATTCAAATCCCACGGAGCCAAAAGGCGCGCGGACAGGGGGAGCAATGCGCGTCACCCCCGAACAAAGGTGCGAACCAGAGTATTAGACGGCAAAGGCCGCCGGAAAAGCACCGCCAAGGCACAGATTTGCCCCTTCACAGTACTCAAGGCCAGCCCCTGAGCCACCCCGCGCTGCAGGAACGCAAGGATTCTGCAGATGGAGAATAAACGCGGGGACAAGGCCCCAGCCCCACACCAGGCAAAATAGGCCCTCCACGTGCGATGGTAAATTTGTCCAGAAACCGCTTTGCGCGCTCTGAGCATAGCGGAAAGGACCGCATCGGACAACCCCCGGTCCATCAGGACCTGGCTCTCAACAGCCACGCCGTCAAAGCCAGCGACTGTAAAGAAGGATGGAACACAGGACCCTGGGACAAACATGCGGGTCACAAACCCATCCATGGCAGAGGAAAAATATTCCAGGGACAATGCGGTACCGCGGTACCCCCACCCCCCCTGACGAACCGGAGGGACGCACGGATGATTGGCAAAACAGCGCAGGCGTACAGGACGCCCAAAGAGGGGGTCTTGAGGGGCCCGTAGAGCGCAGCCCACAACCCCCACACGGCAACGTAGGAGTCATCCCTGCGATCCAATCTACACCGCAGAAAAATACCCCACTGACCGCAGACCACCAGGCAAGGGGAAGAGGGACCCACAGTAATGCAAGACCCTCAGCATTTATTCCGGCCCAGATAGCAGACCCTGCAAAGCGGAGGAGCTCTGAGAATATGAAAAAAAATAAACATGCAACTGCACTTTTCCTATATTTACACGCAGTGAGGTGCACACCGCCTACTCCCTCCTGAGTCTTACACTTGACTGTCTCGGATTTTGGCTGAGCCGCTTCCTCTGGGCCACCCAGCCTGTAATCCTGCAAGTAATAAGCTTGGGTATTGTTTTTTCCATTTGGAAGCACAAGCGTTATTAAAGTGACATAAAAGGATACTTTTTCCCCCTCCCCCCAATGTTAAAGGAGAACTATGAGGCGAGTGCTTTTCACTCACCTCATAGTTCTAGCCGACCTGTGACAATGAGACTGTCACAGGTCTGCTCAGTAGATCGGGAGGTGAGAGAACACATACCGGGTTCCCTCACCTCTCGATCCTGTCACGGCTCTCTGCCGTGACAGGGGAGGGGCTGGATTCCCCCCTCCCCGCTCCGATCCTCCAGCGCTGACTGGCAGAACGGATGTGATGTAATCTCAATTTCTCAAGACCACATAGCCAATAACCGTTGTAAGCGATTTACATAAAGCAATGATGATGCTACATTGTTCAGACTTTGAGTTGTAGTTCAGATGGCAGGCTCTGAGTTGTGACACAAGGAAGTTCATATTCACAGGGCTGAGTGAAATTGTGTCCCTGCATTGAGGAAGTCCATCCTATGGGCATCCTGAATAAGTTTACAAACTTCTAGATCGATATGATAATTAGGAGTGGAATAGAACTTATGGAAATTCAAGATAGCAATACAAATTTATTTTCAGTTTTAGCCATAGAAACCCTTGAAGACTAGAGTGGTAACCTGTGCAAGACTAATAAGACTGCTGAAAATAATGTTGCCCAATAACATCCACAGGAAGGAAGTATTCACTAGATATCTGGCAGATTAACAGGTATTTATTTTGGAACAGA